ACTCGAGCGGCCACACACGCCGGCAGACTGTGTGGACGCTCGACCACGAATCGTTTATGAAATAATTTATGTTAAATTACAATTTTATAAAGTCCGTGTAGATATATGCGGTAAGTGATAGGTTATATCACCTCTCTTATGTTGCCTTTTGTACTCGAACGTAGATTAAAAAGGTTAAATCGACAAAATTGTAAAAATATGAATAGACTGATGATCAATAATAATTCTCTTGTATTTAATTTTTTAAGATGACAAATAAGTTTAAATTATGAGGAAATAATGAAACATCCAAATGTACTAAAAATAGAATCATAATTTTTGTACTTAATTGATCACAGTGAACCTTTCATTTTTCTTTTTGAGAATTTCGTTATGATATTATAATTCAAAATTATGATTTCCATTCCGAACAATAAAATGACAGTATTTTTAATTTATTTATTACAACCGTATCATTATAATTATTGTGAATTTCTTTAATTTTATGAACAAAATCATTGTTTAATTATTTTTTGAGCTTAAGTTTACAATTGACTGATGTAAATTGACTTATATATGATATTTTGGACCCATTTTAATAAATCATGAATGTATTTGTGGCTGTATGTGTGAGTATACTGAAAGATAAAATTTCAAATCATTCCATTCCTTAGCTAAGTAGCCTTATCTATAAATCTTAATGTTTAATTTCGCTATTTTCTTATTATTGTTTATTTTGCATGTGAAACCAGTGATTATCTTAATTGTTCTATGTTTCGTCCGGTGTGGACAAAGTACAATTATCTGTTATCTATCTTTAGTATAATAATGTTACCTTTTGGTATATTCACATAAATGTTTCAAAAGAAAAATGAAAGAAATCTTCATGTGAAAGAAAGCTGTAACCGATAATTCCATAAATAGATTCTAACAGAATAAAAGTCATATTGTATTGCTAATGCGGTGATAAATTTGCCAGCGAGTGTTTGTGACGAAGTGTAATTATTGCAGTGAATGCAAACGAGAAATAAAATGTTAATAATAAACAATTGTTTACAAAAAATTAAAAAAACGTCATTTCATTTTAATCACATTTTACAAAACCCCAAATTGGTAGATAATAACAACACGCTTCTATTCCACGAAGTTTAAAGAATTATATTTACAAATGCTCCCAACGTGGGTGCAAAGTGTAGGTAGGAGAAACAGGACATTTTTGTATAGGACCGATCCTGTCCTACTTCGCAGGAAAATACAATATCTCAAAAAGGGGTCTTCGTAACCACAATATTTTTTTTTTCTCTTATAATATCTTCTGATTCACTTCGTTGCGGGAACCAAGACAGTTACTCATGTCCCTGGGACGCGCCGGACTTCAGTGTTCTGGTGTTTTCATGATTGTATCTACTGTAGATCCTGGTCCTGGCTTACAGGAGTTGTGGCAGGCTTGTCCCAATAAAAAAGAAACCGATAAAGTAAAAGACATATTTGTTAATTCAAGGACAGGGTGGGAGTGAAATTGAAAGGGCTCTTTTCTAAGGCCCTGATAAATTCATAAGGACGTCTACAGTTACTTCAGGTTAGGAAAACTTCGTAATTTTTATGTTAATACCTCTAGTTTTTGATCTTGATAATAATTGCATCTTACAAAACATGAAAAGTACTATTAATTTCTCTCCTAACAAAGGTGCACGTGCACCACGTGCATCCCTTGTGCCTGCTGTAGGCGGCGACCATGGTCAAAACATCAGGAGGTTTTTACTTCTGTCATAATTATCCGTACGAAATATGAACTTGACGCCTATGAAAAGGATTGGCCACAGTAAGCTTTAAGAAGAGATGAATGGAAGGAGGGTAGGAACGCCTTTGCCCTGCAGTGGGACGACCATGGCTCATGCATGCATGGCATGACTGCCTCATTGGCCGAGTGGTCGCAAGTGCGACTGCCCGGCGGCAAGGGGTCTCGGGTTAAATCCCCGGGTCGGGCAAAGTATTACAGGGTTTTTAAAAATTCTCAGTTGTAGCACAGAGTCTGGAATTGTGCCCGGTATTTGACAATATGCTCACCCCCTATTACATGTGACTCATAAGATAAATAGTGATAAGTGGGTGTTACATTGTACAGTGTATTGTACAGCCAAAATTTAGGATTTTATGCATACTTCATTTATTATTTTATTTTCGTTAATACTTATACACCGTGTAAGGATGACGGGCAAAATGTATGAGAATTGTTCCTACCGACCAATAAGTAATAACGACCAGACGTTAGGAAGCTCTTTTCATGACTACCATTTATTATGGGGACTAGGTTCAGCTCGTAAATGTTATAGTTACTTAGATGATCGATTAAACGAAGGATAATGTAAATCAAATGTATGGAGTCTGAACCCACCGCTCAATAGCAACATTTGATACACCGTTGGATAGGGCTTACTAAATGGAACAATAGTTGCTATTACACCTATAAATTGTCAGCTGTAAGTATCTTCGTAGGAACACACGGCCACACATCAATCTATACAAAACCAGTTTATCCTGATGTCGCGTCGCATCGTATTTCCGCACATTTAACGTTCAGTTTATACTGGTTATGTAAAGCTCGATTGATGTGTAGCATGGGTCGACGTCAAAAAGTTATTTTAATCTCTGAAACATAATATATACTGTCTGACTTTTAACCTTAGTTATGAAGTTTTATTCTGCATAAGAATATCTATCCACAGAGGGGTATCTTATTCCTATTAAGAGGTGGGCCCAAAATTACTCCATGTCCTTTAATCTTAGAGTATTTAAAATAGATATAATTGAAGTAACTGTAATATTTTCCCCGCAACGAATTGAGACTAACCCCATAAGGATTTGTTAAGGGTAGATCTTATATTAGCAATCTCCTTTTTTTCATATACTATCTGTTTGAAGATATTGATTCTAGACAGCAATTAATGATTTCCAAAAAAAAAAAAACGTCATTTCATTTTAATCACATTTTACAACCCCAAATTGGTAGATAATAACAACACGCTTCTATTCCACGAAGTTTAAAGAATTATATTTACAAATGCTCCCAACCTGGGTGCGAAAAAATAACAAACACATCAATTTTTATTAGATGGTACTGACGTTTGACCACTATCTCGCCTGGTGGTAAGCGATGATGTGGCCTACGATGGAGCACATCGACCCATTCACTCGGGCCTTGAAGACACCCAGGTTATATACCCTTCAGGAAATACAGACTCTGGCAATGAATTCCACTCCTTAGCAGTACGTACAAGGAAGCTTGATGCTAAGCGCTTCGTGCGTGTGGGTGGGACATGTACCATGAATCGGTGACGCTTCGCCGATTGTCTTGTGGTAAGATAATGGAAAGGACTAGTGGGAATCAAGTTGTGGAATTCCCACACACGCTCTCCTTATATAATATCTTCTGATTCACTTCGTTACGGGAACCAAGACGGTTATTCATGTCCCAGGGACGCGCCGGACTTCAGTGTTCCGGTGTTTTCATGGTTGTATGTTGTATCTACTGATACACCGTTGGATAGGGCTTACTAAATGGAATAATAGTTGCTAATACACCTATGGTCAAATGTTAGTATCTTCGTAGGTACACACAGCCACACATCAACCTATACAAAACCAGTTTATCCTGGTGTCGCGTCGCATCGTCTTGCCGCACATTTAACGTTCAGTTTATACTGGTTATGTAGGTAAAGCTCGATGTGTAGCCTTGTGTACCACGGGTCGACGTCAAAAAGTTATTTTAATCTCTGAAACATAATATATACTGTCTGACTTTTAACCTTAGTTATGAAGTTTTATTCTGCATAAGAATATCTATCCA